TCTCCCTGCCCGTTGCTCGAACCCTACACCCTAAACCCTAAAGTGTCAGAAGGCAAGCTTGACCTATGTTGCTTCACAAGTCTAGGCCAGGGAAAGTTGCTCGAGGCGATTCTGGTAGTAATTCCAGATATCACAACTTGGGTGCCCTTGCCGGAGTTCTCATGGCAAGGCGGTCGTCAGATCATGCTTGCAGACACTGCCCGGCACTTGGAGACGCCTCCTGGTTTCGATCGGATCGATACCTGGACATGGCAAGATCTTGCGAGCACCGCGCGTAACTGGTGGGGCTGACCATGCACGTTCTAACGGGCACTCTCCGGGTTTTCACCTTTGTGATCATGAGCATGAGGAAGTTGGTTAAGGTGATCACGGTAGTCAGAAGTGCCTACTTGTCATGGAAAGCTGGAAGAGGGGTCCACAACATGCGAACTTGGGATGTTGCAGTAGTGGCCTCGGATCCACATGAAAACCAGTGCCCTAATCAAGTCCGGAGTCGTCGCAGGTCGGCTTCATCCAGAGGCAAGAGGGTGTGCCGCGATGTGCATGGGGTTCATCAAGATTGGCACGGTAGCAGCTTTCTTGAGATCTTGTCTCCCGTTGTGCTCTTTGGCTTGGTGATTCTATCTTATGAGGGTTGGCGTGCTGGCACAAGTTCCACAGACTTTGGGCAAATGAGTGCAGGTTCCAATGCTATCCCGCCATTGGATCCTGTGCCCAGCACAACAAGTCGAGGTCGCAGAGTCCTAGAGCCTGGAAGCTTGAGTCAGGCTTCCTGAGCAGCTCGTAGCCGGATTTCGTGCCACCTTGGAGGAGGTGGTCGAGGCGCTAGCCATTTCCTGCAAGTGCAGCTCCACAGAAAACGAACTGCACTCAGGGTAAGCTGCACCGGGGTCCTTGACCATTAGAGCTGTCCTCGAGGGATTGTGATAAGGCCGACGTAGGGTCAGAATTATCTTATGAGAGTTGGCTGCGAGACAACTCTCATCCTACACGTGGTCGACGTGTCCTCTCCAATGGCTGCTCAGCAGGCGGGGATGCAGCGAGTGGTTGAGTCGGACTTGGTTTGGACTGTCATTGTGTGACACACATGTGGTGCTGGCATTTCTTTCTTTGTTTCGTTTTGGCATCTGCGTTGCTTCCGCAACTTCGAGAGCCGCCAACTTAGCCTTGATATCTGCATGCCAGATCGCCAGTGTTCTCAAAACACTGAAGCGCCTGCGGAAATTTAAGCCGTCGGCCAAGCCCGCTTAATCTGGAGTGCAGGTTTGAACTGAGGTTGTCCACGTGGAAGGGAATTGAGTCGTGATTATGTTCGATACACCTACTAGTAACTAGTAGCACAGCTGTGCCAAGAAAGGCTTAGTGATGCTGGGCATCTAAACCCTGGCACTGTCAGCCAGGACAACGCCGCAAATTATGGTCTACAACAAGGTGGACCGGCTGGAAGGCGGCAGCGGATCTCAACACGATTGGAACTAAAGCAACTGACAGCGACTACTCATGCTGTTGCCAGGTGACCAGGCAGAGCAGCTAGAACAAAGCCATGCTCTCTGTGGGCATCCGCATGTAGCTGCAAGCTGCAAGCTGCATGGAGAATGTGGATCTCATGGGGTGGTTTCATGACCAGTCCCACTGAGCTCCAGCTCTGGAAAACATCAGGTCTGAGCTATCCTGACCCTGGCATTGTCGGCCATGTTCAGGTGCCGAATCTGTGGCAGCCCAGCACTCCGGAAATCGCAGGTTCTTGAGTAGACCTGAAGAAAACCCGCCTGGCAGATCTCGGCACTGAAGGGAACGGGCTTCACGGCCTTGTCAGAGGCGCCCGTCTGAGAGCACTTGGCAGCAGTGTGAGTCGCTCTTTCTGCTTTGTGTCGCACTTTGTCATGGTTCTGTGCCGCTTAGTGTCTGAACTCTGAAGCGCTGCGCCTTCCAGAATGCACAGCTGCAGCTGTTGTCTGTCCTGAAGGCTATTGAGGAGACCCTCCTGAAGCACACAGACTTTGGTGCTGCAAGCATGAGACTTTTGGCTTCTCGGCTGCGACGTCATGCTCTTGACATTGCCCCAAGCGGCCCGAGTGTCCTCGGATGCTGAGATCCCGTACACGGACTCTGCCGTCTACGCCAAGATGTCTCTCGGCTGGAAGCGTCCCGAAGAGCCTCAAGTCAAAGAGCTCTTGACTCACGGCCTCGGGGTCCGAGGAAGTCTGGTGACAGCCAGGTCAAGATCAATTCGGAGGTGCCTCGAGACTTATGTGTCTAGCTGGAGTTCCATGCCCCAGAGCGGTTTTTTGAGTTTAGGATGCTTCATTGTGTTAGCGTCTGGCGCGTCCTGAACTCTCTGCTGCCGCTTGCTCGTCACTCCATGTCGATGCCCTCCTCGCTGTGACCTGCGTGACGCACATTGCAGGCACACACCTCGGACGGCTATTTGCTCCAGGTCGGGACCCCGCCAAGCTTGAGGACGTGAGCACATAAAGCATAATCAGGAACCGCCAAGATGTTTGCGGCAAGGGCTGGCAGGAAGCCACACACCTGCCCCGCCCCTCTGCCAACTTTGTAGTTTCGATTTCTTCGTCGACCCGCATCTTCGCGGCTATGCTTCTTGTCATTCCGTCCACAGCGCATTTCAACCCTCTCGGCTGGGATGATAGCACCAATGGCAGAGGCATCAGACTCATCGAGCCTGCTTTGCGGAAGGTAACAGCATCGACGACTGCGGAGCGGATGCTGAAGTCCTTCGAGGTTTGGAAGAGGGTTAAATGCCGTTTTGTTGGGTTCACTGGCCAGAGCAGGTCAGTGAGGAGGACTACGAGATCATAGCTGCAATGTGAGCTCGACGCAGACTAGACAGGGCTCTTACAGCGAGGTTCTTGGAAAGTGTTGGGCTCGCAGCATCAGCGCGGCATTTGAAAGCCCAACTGCTTGCAGAGAGAGAATGGGGCCATGGGGCAGCGCGCCTGCCCCTCCCCAGGGGGAGCTCAGCGACACAAGGGTTGTGATTCGATGTGTCTTGGGATGAGGCTGATTTGGATTCTGCGAGTTTGCACGGTCTGGGTAAGGCTGAGGCAGCAGATGAAAGTGTCCGAGCTGTTTGGCTCCTCAAGGGAATCCAAGACCAGAGGTGATCTTTGCATCGAGTGTCATCCATGGAAGTTCGGTGCTGTATTCGCTGACTATCGGACAACTGCTTATACCGTCATCGTGTGTTGGGATGACAAACGCTGTGCGGTATTGGTTGTTGTATTTCTTGCTTGCTAGGATTGCCAGGAGCTTCCAACAGACTGGGACAGAGCTGTGCTTTAGGAATTTTGGGCTTCAATTGCAGCTTGTCTTATCTCTTTGGCCATCTTGTGCCCAGCTGCCATGGATGCGCGTGTTGCGACGCATGCGTACTCGCCTGAAGTTCAGCTCCGTTTACCGACCGGCCGACCCGTGCCGCAACACAACCTTTTGTTCAATTGCTCTCTCAGACGTCGTGCTGTAAGAAGACCGCAAGACTGCATACTGTGGTTGGGTTGTATTCTGCCCTAGTCCTGCTGACCGGTGTCTGAGGGCAGCAAGTAAGAACCTGCTCGCTCGCGAACTGCACAGCATCTGCAAGCAGAGGCATCGAAGCTTCTCACGATTGCAGAGCCTGCTGAGACAGTGGGAGGCCCCCACCTATCCTGCTCCATACAAGAGTGTAGGGCCGCTAATTTTACGGGTCATTTGATCCTCAAGGTACCTGCTTGCTTGTCTTTCCTTTAGCTTGGGAATCTGTCGATCTAGCTATCGTCCTTGCCATAAATGAAGTCCAACTGAGCTAAGTTTAGAAGTTCTTACAAGAGTTCTATGAGTGTTCTATACGTGTTTTGTGTGGGTGAAAAGGGTTTTCAGGGTCCAGACGACTTGATGATCGGGTACTTGGGTTTGGGGTGATAGTTGCGTAGGTCACTACGATTATCGTGTACTTGGAATTGTAGGGCTATTGTTTGTGCCATTTTGGTTGGGGCACCTGTGCTGTAAGATAGTACCAAATAGTACCAAACCCCAGAATCGTCTTCAAAACAAGGGTGAGGCATCCTTGTATCAACAACGGCGGAGCCTGGCTCCTCTCCGAGAAGAGCAGGAGATCGAGTTGCAAACCAAAAGTCCAAACCTGCATATAGGAGCCTCAGCAATTAAGTGCCCATATTCCTTAAGGCTCCCTGTTATGATTACGGAGTACTGAGTAAAGTCTACGATACCCCAAAGGCCTACTCTGATCGGTAAGGTTCCCCTAAGCCCTGAGCCCCACACCCTAAACCCTGAATCCTAAACCCCGTTACACGCACCACTTGCCGGAAACCTCAAAGGACCTAATTCTTGCTATAGGGGATTCTATGGTGTGTTAAACGGGATTTAAGGTCCAAAGGACCTACCATTTTAAACATTTATGAGGTATTTGGGTTGAGATAGTCGTGATGTAGGGCTTGTAGGGATTATCCATCAAGCTCTTGATTCTGAAAGTCTTAAACCTTCACTGCAGACCCCTAAAACCGAACCCTCGACAAGTTCGCGACATGCGGATTATCGTGGAAGTTGGGCTGCCCAGTGGCAAGACAGCTATCGTGGAGGCCGACTTGGATGAGGAGATTGGCAGGCTTACATGCCGGGCAGAGACCGAACTTGGAGTTGGCAGAGGGCGTCCTGCTGGACTCCTCCGGGAGCATCGACAATCGATGCCGCCAAGCTTCAGGATGGTGCCTCGCTGACCTTGCATGTAACCAGAGTTCAAGTTCAAGCCGCTCACACTCTCACAGCGCTTGTGCTGCCAGTCTTGGCGATGGCTGTCTCGACATGGGATGATGCTTGCAACGGCGGCAACTGTAGTGCTGTGAGGGATCGGCTGAAGAATGTGCGGCATATCCAAGCATCCCACGGCGCATTTGCTGCGCTTCTTGACGATGGATCCGTTGTGTCCTGGGGTGATGCTCACCAGTGTGGTGGCAGTAGTTTCGTGAGGCTGAAGAATGTATAGCAGATCCAAGCCTTTCATGACGCTTTATTGCCATTCTTCGCGATGGATCTGTTGTGCTATGCAGGATCAGTTGAAGGATGTGCAGCAGATCCAAGCCTCTGGCTACGCTTTTGCTGCTATCCTGTCGATGGATCTGTCGTGACCTGGGATGTTGCTGGCCACGGTGGCGACAGCAGTGCTGTGCAGGATCTGCTGAAGAATGTGCAGCAGATCCAAGCTTCTTACTTGTCCTTTGCCGCCCGTCTTGCCGATGGATGTGTTTTGACCTGGGGTCATGTTGGCTATGGAACGGTCCTTGCACCTTGGCAAGACATCCCAGCCCGCGGTAGCTTGAGGCCCAGAGGGTTTCGGGTTTAGGGTTTAGGGGTTTAGGGTTGAGGAGGCGAGGATTTAGGGTCTGCATGTTTCGGGTTGGGAGGTTCAGGGTTTGAGGTTTAAGGTTCTGGGGTTGGGGGTCTGAGCATCAATGAAAGGGGTTCGGAACATGCTGTTCGTGGCATACCTTCTCTGCGGCGAAACTGACAGGCAGCTGATAAAGTTGCGACGCACAAGCTGCAAGAGCTTGTCGACAGCCTGACGCGGTGGGCTTGGAGAATTAAACAAAGACACAAGAGCCCTGCAAAACTCGATCCCGGCTGTGTGTGTTTGTGCGGGGCAGGCCGTAGTGTGGTCTGGGTAAGACACAGCGACACGCTTGCCAGTGCTTCCAGGCGGCAAGACTACCTCTCGCCTGAGCATGCGGGACTGTGCGAGTCTCAGAGGGCTGGAACTGCGGCTATTTGTAAGGATAGGCCATCCTCAGTTGGCCCAACTTACTCATGCACTGCTCGCATGTCATGCGCGGCCTTGCGAGCAGTAAGACTTGGCATCTTTGAGCATCTGAGCTTCCGACGTGTCAAGATATCCTCGTGTTCTGGCCAGGTTGGGCTTGGCTGGCCTGAACTTCCAGGTGCGGTTGCGGAGAAACGGACGAGGGATTGCAGCCTGTAGGCTTCCCATAGCCTTAGCTCGGCCCTTTGTGACGAGGCTCTGCTGTCCGTGAGGGCGACCTTGGAGCGGCAACGGGCCTCAGATTTGGATAAACTCTGCTGAGCCTAAACCGCCAAAGTCCATGATGAGGCGCTCGCTCCAAGCTTGGGCCTCTCTGGAGAAGCTCCAGGCATGTCAGACGCAGATGCTCGGGGCAGTAGAGCCTTCGAGGCTGAGACGTCGAGTGATGCCATCGCGACCTGGAGGCTGAGCTGAGCAACATTGCGGATGCTGTCAGCATGCTCTCCGAGGCAGTTGAGCAACCTGCCACATGCCACGGGACGGATGCAAGCTTTAAGTAACAGCCGGCAATAGCCTCGCACCGGGTGCCACCGACTTCTCCTGGGCTGCAAGCACTCTGCCGCTAGGAATTGCAGAAGGAAGTCGGCTGCCCAGTCTTCATGAAAGAGGCATGCTTGCATCATCTTGCATCATCTTGCATCAGCAGCCGCAGTTCGGCTCGTGGTTAGACCCAAGCACGATTTCACTGCCTTTCATTTGAGCAGGCCTCCGCCATGACGTTGAGCAATGCAGCACACTTGGCGCACAAAGCGGCGCAGATGCTGCGCGGGGAGCCTTAACAGACGCCTTCTGATTGTGGCAGTGTCACACCGGAACTATTTGGTGGGGTCCATGATGGGGCCATTTTTTTTCCCCCAAGGTGCGGTGAACCCTTGCCTGAAAGGTGCGGCCAAGCCCTGGTCCTCTGGTCCCTTGGTCCTCTGGTCCCTTGGTCCCTGGTCCTCTGGTCCTGTGGTCCTCTGGTCCGCTGGTCCTGCGGTCCCCCGTCCCCTTCCGGTTCCGTTGTCTCCGGGTCCTGCGCTCCCCTAGTCCTCTGGTTTCCTTGCCCTCTGGTTACGAGGAACCGGAATTGCAAATTGGTCCCAGTTGTTCGTGTTGTTCGTTGTGTACTAACATTCAATTGGATTTCGCCAAATGAGGGTGTGTGCTTAGGATGTATGATGAACCGGAGTCGCCAAATAAGGGGGCGTGTTGAAGACAAATATGATGAAGCGGAATCGCCAAATTTGAGGGCAGTTTAAGATAAAAGATGATACGGAATCGCCAATGGAAGGGGCGTGAATCGCCAAATGAGGGGGCGTGCTTAGGATGTATGTTGAACCGGAATCGCCAAATGAGGGGGCGTGTTTAATATATATATATATATAATTATATATATGGTGAGCCGGAATCGCCAAATGAGAGGGCAGCTTAAGATATATGATGATGCGGAATCGCCAATTGAAGGGGCATGTTGACCTGGAATCGTCAAATGACGGGGCGTGCTTAGGATGTATGTTGAACCGGAATCGCCAAATGAGAGGGCGTGTGCAGGTTATATGATGAAACCTGAATCGCCAAATGAGGGGGCGTGTTTAAGATGGGGGGGGGTGCAGCCCCCCCAATGCAAACCGTATGCTCACATGATAGGATTGAAAAACACTCACATGCTTTGAAGCAAGCTTGCACGGCTAAGAATAGTGGTGGAGTTGGGGGGGCAGCCCTCCCAACTGCAAACAGAATGCTCGCACTATGGGTTTCAAAAAAGACTCATATGCATTGAAGCAAGCTTGCACGGCTCAAAAAAGCAGGGGGGTTTGGGGGGGCGCACCCCGTAAAACCCACTTGCAAACACCATGCTCGCATGATGGGTTTCAAAAAGAATCATATGCTTTATGGCGACCTTGCTCGGCTTAAAAAAGCG